CAAATAATTACTTAGAATAAATTTTATATTAATGTACAAAGTAATTTTATATAGAATACTTTAAAAAATATTTTACAAATATATTCCACATTAATACATTGTTATACAAATATAATCTTTGTAAAATTTTTATAACGCAACTTTTCATAATTGTAGATCAAACAATTGACTCATGTGACAAGTCAAGATGTAAAAACTTCTTCTTTACGGATAATGAAGAAATTGTTTTCTAATGAATTAGCAGTGCAATACAGTTGGTATGGAGCAAAAAAAAAGAAATTTTTTCGCAGCTAAATATCTGCAAAATAATCATGTGTAAGTAATAAATAATAGAAAGTATTTATGAATATAAATGTATATTACTTGTATTTTTTGTATTACTGTTAAATTAATTAAAATTAATGTTTGTGAACAAAGAAGGGCTGTAAGAGTATATTAAAACAAATTGCAGTTGTCAGATAATCTTAATAAAATTCATTTAAAAACAAGAAATAAATACATAAGCAATAAACATTTATGTGTAGATGATATTAATAAAATGTATTTTAAAAAGAGAAAATAAATATATAAGAAATAAAACAATTATGCGAACGTTTCGGCTGACATTTCAAGCCTTCTTCAGCGCAATACCAATATTTTACTTTAAATTAGAACGTGATATTAAACATTAAAGACGGTAGTTAAAATAGTCAAGATAATAAATATGTGAAGTCAGTTATTGTCTCAATACATATGTTGTTGAACAAGTCATCGTGTATGACAACCATTGTTTCCGATACATACTTTGAGAAAACACACCATGCAATCACCCATGAGAATAGACTTCCTGATTAATTGGTCAAGGGAGATATCTTGATTGAATCCTCTCGATGAAATGTTGTTAAACATTAAATCAAGATCTAAATAAACAAGATCCGATTATTCATCATATTCTGATAAGTAAAATGCACTGTACACTCACTCAAACAAATCGGTGATAATTTTACAAAAGTTCCACGTATCAGATCCGACATCCCTTTAAACAAGGTTTTTTTGCAGAGAACAAAACAGAACGTTAAACCATCACAACTCTCAGATCGCAAATGCGAAAATACCTCAATGTTTTACCTTCTTATATCAAGGTTTGTTTATAAACCCTGATAATTTTGGCAAAGACTCTATAATGTTGTTATATATGTCAGGCAAAATTCCGTATCAGTTTGTAGATTCAATCCATAGCTTGTCTTTTTATAAATAACATTTCCGATATTAGTCTTTTATTATAATAAAGTTCTTTATCTAAAATTTTAACTTCGCCCCAATCAAAATCATGCCCCATCAAACCAATATCATTGCCCTTGTGCAATGACTGTGCGGTTTCTTCGCGGTTGCGGTGCGGGGCAACACCAACCCCACACGCGCCCTCCCAAAGAGTTTGGGGGGCGCGGCCATGGCTCGAGAGCTCCCGCTCGAGCCATCGCCTCCGCCCCCCTGGTGAAACGCATCCCCCGGATCCCCTAGAGGGTGATCCGGTTCGGCGTTCCATCAGGGGAGCCCTCACCAGGAGGTTTCTCTCAGGAGGAGAGGAGCCTCCTCCGTGGACGGTGTTGCCCTCCCACCGGTGCCTTATGGCTCCCGGTGAGAGGGCTCCGCGCCTCACGTATTCACAGAGGGGGGACCCAAGGCGCCCGGCCGGACTGGCGATGCCTGCCCGCCGGGGGACACGTGGCGGGCAGACATCGCCAGTCCGGCCGGGGCGCCTTGGGTCCCCCTCTGTGAAGACGTGAGGCGCGGAGCCCTCTCACCGGGAGCCATAAGGCACCGGTGGGAGGGCAACACCGTCCACGGAGGAGGCTCCTCTCCTCCTGAGAGGAACCTCCTGGTGAGGGCTCCCTGATGGAACGCACCTGAGTCACGGCGGTATGTCACACCCCCGTTTGCCCTGCCTAGCCATTGTTCCAGGCAGGGCTGGATGGCCCCGACGGTGCGCTGTCCGGGAAGATTGGGGTTTTCCAGTCCCTCGGACCATTCTTTTATTAGGCACCGCCGGGTATGGACCCTCAGGTTACGCCGGATACTGTCCGTCACTATGGTGCCCCCCCTTTGCAGCCCGCGTGTACGTTTGTACACCTCGGTGTACATTCGGGCTAGCAATTCGACGGGGGGCACCCCGGAGATCACTCCGGCTGCCGTCCAGCTGACCGTACGGAACCCCCTGCAAACTCTGTTGGCGACCCGTCTTGGTAGCTGGTGCAGTGAGTCCTGCAGCTTGCGGGTCGCCCCCAGTTTCTCCGCCCATACGGGGGCTCCGTACATCAGCATAGCATGGACAGTTCCGGCATATAATCGGCGAACCCTTTCGTCGGGCCCCCCGAGATTCGGCAAAAGCCGACATAGGGCCATCGCGGCCCTTTCCACTCTCGGGGTTATCCGACGAAAGTGCTCGCCAAACGTCCATTTACCATCCAGGTGGAGACCCAGATATTTCATCTGGGTCCCCACCTCTACGGGGGTGTTTTCCACCATTATTGTGGTTTTGGGTTGCGCTCCTATTCTTTTATTGTGAAAAAAGATAGCTTCCGTCTTTTGGGGCGCCACCCTCAACCCAATATCTTTAATCGTCCGCACCACGCGCGCCACTGCCAGGTTGGCACGTCCCTGCGCTTCTCCCCAGGTGTCTCCCCCGGCCAATATCAGGGTATCGTCAGCATAGCATATTGCCTGACAGCCGGGGGGGAGGGCAACCCGCAGGGCGATGTTGTACGCGAGGTTCCACATCAATGGTCCCAGGACCGAGCCTTGCGGAACCCCACACGACATCTCCCTGCTCTGCTCCTCGGCGTTTCTGTCCATATAGACCAACTGTCTATCCCGGAAGTAGTCCGCTAAGACCGACACCAGGTATGGGGGGACCCTGTGGTATTGCAGGGCCTCCCCACCCGGTGCCACGGCAGGGTGTTGAAGGCATTTGATATATCGAGCGATACCGCCAACAACACCCCGCCTTCCCTCGTTACGGCCTCCGCGACCGAGCGAACCCGCAATATTGCGTCTACCGTCGATCGCCCGGCCCGGAAGCCGTATTGTTTGTCATCCAACTGCGGACCACTCCGAGACAGGTGGTGGACGAGGCGGTCTGCGATGATCCTTTCTAGGATTTTTCCCGCCTCGTCCAGCAGACAAATCGGTCTATACGCCGAGGGCAACTCCCTTGGTTTGCCCTTCTTCGGAAGAAGGACTACATTTGCCTTCTTCCACACCCGGGGAAAGGAGCCCGTTTTGAGGCACTCGTTATACAAGTGCCTCATGGGCTCCGCTAGATCCTTGAAGGCAAGGGCCCATGCCTTCCCGTGGACGCCGTCAGGTCCGGGGGCTTTCCCCCTTTTAATTTTCCTGACGGCGTCCCTTAACTCTCCTCTCGTGACCCCCATCTCTTCCTCATTCCACTCCTGCTCCCGCTTCTGAATTTGATGACTATCAATTCGCGGGAACAGGGTGTCGATTACTTCTTTTACGAGATGGGGATCCATGGTTTCCGTTTGAGGGGCCGTCCCTCCCTTGAGTTTATTTAAAACCATTTTATAGGGACGACCCCACGGATCCCTGTCCAGAGAGGAGAGCAGTTCCTCCCATGCCCTTGCCTTCGCCTGCCTTATGGAGGCGCGTAGGATGCAGCGTGCTTCTCTGTACGCATCCCACGCGTCCTCCAGGCCTTCCGGATCTAGCAGCGCGTGCCTTTTCCTCCTGTGGATTTTCCTTCTTGCTTGGTCGCAGGATCGCCTCAGTTCTGCAATATCCTGCGACCACCAATATGCCTGTCTTTTAGGCCTATTCTTCACTCGAGGCATGGCTACGTCACATGCCTGTGTTATAACATTTTGTAGCCATGCCCTTTGTTCCTCTGGACCTTCCCTTTGGGAACTGTCCACTATTAGGGCCGCGTTTATCGCGGCCAGGAATGCATCCTCATCCATTTTTCTGAGGGCCCATCTCCTGGAGCCGGCCTCTCTGAGTAGGCGGCGCTGTAAGACCTCCTTTGTGAGAGTGGAGACGGAGAATGTGATGTATCTGTGGTCAGAATCTGTTTCCTTCTCCGTCCCCACCCTCCAACCGTGTATTAGTCTTCTGGCAGTGCGGGTCGCCCACGTTAAGTCGACTATTGACCCGCCCTGCCTCCTCCAACACGTCTCTGTCCTCCCTGTGTTAAGGAGGTCGAGTCTGCTTCGCGCCGCCCACTCGTAAACCTCGCCGCCCCGCCAATCGGTGCGCGGCGAACCCCACGCCACATTTTTGGCGTTGAAGTCCCCCGCCACCACCAAGGGGCCGGCAGAGTGTTTAATTATCTGCCGCTCCAGGTTCATCAGCCTCTCGCCGAACTTTCTTCTTTCCATGTTCGGCGAGATATATACCGATATAACGGTGATGGGCCCCCAGGATACCACCGCAAATCCCTCTCCTTTATCTTTGGGGTTTAACGGTGGCGAATCGGATGCATTCCTCCTGACGATTGCAGCCGTGCCGTCTTCACTCACAACCCAGTTGTTGTTGTTTCTTGGTGGGTTGTACGGCTCGGCTACAATCGCTATGCCGTAGGATTCCTCGCACATGGTCTGTGCAAGGAGATCCTGCGCATTCCTCGCATGGTTCACGTTGGCCTGCACAATTTTAGTGGAGGCCATCGTGAACCATTATTTCTTCCTCCTGCTCTGATGCTATTTCCATAGCATTGGTGTCCGCCTTTGCCTTTTTGGTTCTTAGAACCCTCTGCTCCTTGGGGGGCTCACTTGGGCCCCCTGCGTTTCCCTCCTCTCTTGGCTTATTTAGCCTATTGAAGGGAATTCCCCTCTTGCCTTTGTGCACCGGCGCACATGCCTTACCTCCCGTCCGGTGGTTGGCCGGGAGGTTTTTGCTACTGCATACAGCGCAGTGCGCCGGTGCATCGCAATTCTTGGCCATGTGCCCCGTTTGACCGCAGCGGTAACATGTATCGCTGCGGTCCGTTTTATTGGGGCATCGGGCCCTTACGTGCCCCCCTCCAAGCATTTATAACATTGGAGGGGGCGTGCCTCCAGCAAATCTACCCGGGTTCGTGCCCAGCCTATTTTTATCTGGCCTTTTTTGGCCAAGGCATTAGCCGCTGAGATTGGACAACGAACCCAGACTATCCCCATGCCATTGGGGGTCTTTTTCATTTCTCCCACACTTACTTCCTCCTCTTCGCAGCCTCCTTCATTGGAGACTGCATTCCTCACGTCGGAGGGAGTCACCGAGTCGTCCAGTCCTCTAATTCGGATCTCTGCTGACGTAGTGGGGCGTTGCACCCTGACTCCCTCCTTGTCTGCCAGGGCTGCCTTTAGTCTCCTTGCCAGACTATCGGCTAGCTCCTGGCTTCTTGCCCCCGGCACCTCGTACATGAGGGCCCCCGTGATGGCCCTTGATCTTGACTCCATTTTTAATGCCAAGATCTTCGAGGTTTATCTTTTGGCGTGCCTCCCGCATGATACTTTCATATTGTCCGGGAGGACACGTCACCGTCACTGCCGCTGTTTTAGGCTCCCTCCTTTTTCGGGAGGGTGCGGCTTAGGTGCTGGTGGCTTGAGCGGTATCTCTCTTCCTTTGGGGTTGGGATTTACCTTAGGGTTGGGGTCTTGGATTTTCTTCCCCTTCCTCTTCACCACCTCCGTCCATTCCGGATCGTTCCGGGGTGCTTCAGCGTCCTGCCTTGGCGCTTTTTGTTGTCCCTTGTTTTTAGGGACAATCAATGCCATCCTGTTTCTCTCCTTGAATAGTCTGGCCGGGGGGTTGAGGGTCGTTATCGAGGTTACTTTGGGTTTCGCCTTCTGTTTCGACCCTCTCTTCCTCTTTCCGGTTTCCTGTAGGAGGTGGTGCGCTGCCTGTGGTGCTTTTCCCTTTCGGGATTTGTTGCTTGGCCTTTTCCTTCTGTTGTGCCATTTTCTTTTCCTTTCCTCTTCTTTCTTCTGCGCATAAGTGGGTACTGGGTTTCCCAAGCGCCTGTCCATCTCTCGCGTGATAACCCCTTCTATTAATGCGATGAGGTTATCTTGCTTTCTTCGTTCCTCATCACCATTCTCCGTTGTTTGGTGGTTTAGAATGATGGGGACGTTCTTTCTCGTTCCCGGCAGCTCCGTTTCCCTGGGTGTTTCTCATCTCTTTCTACTTTTCCTTAGGCCAAGGGGCGGGAAATCCTCCTTCCTAAACATGATGGTGGTGGGTGATTCTTCCACCACTTCCATTTCTTCCATCCTCTCCTCCTCTCCCTGGGTTGGCGAGAATCCCCCGCTTGACCGTGGAAGTGGGGTTTCCGGGCCGCTTCACATGCGGCCCCTGAGGCTTCCCCACCCTCGAGCGGTAGTGGGTTTTCGGCGACCCATTTTCCTGTCCTTGCCGTCCGTTGGCTACTCCGGAGTGATTCTAATCTCTCCTCCGTGTTCTCCTCCTGACTTGTAATGTTCTGTGGAGCCGCGGCCTGATTTTTGGGCTTCTTCAACTGCTGCACGGTTTTCCTGAGATGTTGATTCTCTACCTGCAGGGCCCTTATTTGTTGTCTAAGCTCTCGCAGCTGGCTATCTATAGTTACGGCTCCCGGGTTTTGCGCTCTCAGCGCAAGTACCGTTGCCGCCGCGCATAAATCAGCCGCCGACTCCTTTGCCTGCTTGACCAATGAGCCCTTTAGATTTCCCGAGCCCACTGCCACCTTGTAGATCCCCATAGCGACCATGGCTTCCAGGTCTTCTATGGGGGCCTGTTCGTACTCCTCCGTTTTCGTCTGTACCCTCTCCAGATATCCTTTAAAGGATTTTGTCTGGAGCGGTGGTAACACGAGGGTTCAGTGTGTTTTCCTCCTGTTGCCTCTCCTTTTTCTCTTGATCTTTCGTCATCCTTGCTAAGTGCAGAAACGGCCTGCTTGGCGTGACCCTTGGCACTAGGAGATTGCCCATGAGAAGCTGTGGGATGGCGGCTCGCCATCTTGTGCACCTACTGCATCGGCTGATGTGTCTTTTCACCAGCGAGCGACCTCGAGGGACCCAATACTCCTGGCGCAGGGAGCACAAGGTCAGCTGAGTCCCGCTGTGTAACGTCCGCTGGTGGTGGTCGTCGATGACGAGGTGAGTGTATGTCGACTCGCTGGGCAGTATTGGCGGATGAGTGGCATTGTATTGCAGGTAAGCGTTTCTGAGGCGCCCGCCGACGCGTAGAAGTCTTTTGCAGTCTAGGAATGGATTTAGTTTGTGCAGGGAGCTTCGCGACGGCAGAGGCGTTCCATTGCGCAGCCTTCTAATCTCGTCTTTAAATGTTCTAGCCTGGATCAACCTCACCCAGGAGATGCGGGCTTCCGTCAGTTCGTCGACGCTGATTACGCTAAGCTGGCTTTGCGCATGGCGGAGCTGGCGATGGATCAGCAACCAGCGACGGACCATGCAGTGATCCGCAGCAGTCGTTTCAGCGAAGAGTAGCGAAGCAGCAATTCCGATTCGGGCTTCAGCTCGGCAACGGCGGTGACGTGAGCACGGACTCGTCTCTCTGGGAGGTCCTCTGCTGACATCTCCTCGCTGTTGGTCGTCCAAGGACTGCTCTCCGCTGCTAGCCATACGGGACCTTGCCACCAGAGCGGGTGATCAACCAGCTCGCTAGGATAGAGCCCCCGAGAAACACAGTCCGCTGGGTTTTCCCGACTTGGTACGTGATGCCAGTGGGTCCAGGATCAGTGTTTGTATTTTGCTGACCCGGTTGGCCACATAGATGGCCCACGTCGAGGGATGCCCACGGATCCAGCCGAGCGTGACGGTGGAATCAGACCACATATGAAGAGGTGCCTTGTCTGCTCCGATGATCGGTACGGTGTGGGTGGCTAGACGAGCCAGAAGAGTGGCGGCAGACAGCTCCAGCCGAGGTAAGGAGACTTGCTTCAAGGGCGCGACCTTGGTTTTCGCAGCTAAGAGAGCCACCTTAGTAATATCCTTTGTTTTGGTCTTCAGGTATAGCACAGCTGAGTAGGCACGCTCTGAAGCATCGGCGAATGTGGATCTCCCGCTGTGAGTCAGCCAAACCTCCCAGCCATCGAGGTACGAGCAAGTTTTCCAGAGCAGGCAGCTCGCTCTGGAATTGTAGCCATCTCCTCTCTTCGTCGATTGGCAGCGGAGCGTCCCAATCGAGGCCTAGCAACCAGGTAGACTGGATGAAGATCTTAGCCAGTACTGTTGTTGGGGACAGCCAGCCGAGAGGATCTAACATCTTTGCTGTCAGTGAAAGTACCGACCTTTTGGTGATGGTCGATAGATTGATCCGTTTGGTGGCGAAGGCGAAGCGATCGTCCCGGGGTTGCCAGCGTAACCCGAGAGTGGAGTGACTCTCGCCGGGCAGCCATCATTTGGCCTTTCGTTGAAGGCGGTCGTCGGGCCCCACTTGGTTCAGCAGTAGCGAGTGGTTTGCCGACCACTTCTTAAGCGAGAAGCCGCCCGCCTTGCAGATATCAATCAGCTGTTGTAGCATGACTTCGGCTTTTTCATGGTCTCCGCACCGGTCAGGATGTCGTCCATGTAGACGTCGCTCAGCAGAATGATGGTTTCTTTTGGGTAACGATGTTCTTCGTCCTCAGCCAGTTGATGTAAAGTGCGGATTGCCAGATAAGGAGCACAGGATAGACCGTAAGTAACAGTATCCAGCCAGTACTCCTTGATTTCGTTGTTAGCGTTCTCTCTCCACAATATTCTTTGCAAGCTTTGGTCGTCAGGGTGCACCAGGATCTGCCTATACATCTTCTCGATGTCGGTCACGAAGACGTAGCGATGACGTCGCCAACGCAGCAGGATGTCGGCCAGTGAAGGAAGCAAATTCGGTCCCGTTGCGAGATATTTGTTGAAGGAGTTGGCAAGGAGCTCGAGCCGTTGAAGACGACCCTCAGTTTTGTGGATGTGCTGTCCGGACGCAAGACCCCGTGGTGCGGCAGGTAGCAAGCACCTGGATGCGATTCCGTCGACGAAGGAGCAGGCATCATGTGGCGCAGGTCCAAGTATTGTCGCATGAATTCCGCGTACATGGTTCGAAATTCGCTGTCTCTCTCAAATTTCTTCTCCGTGTGTTGCAGAGCACGGCGGGCGGAGCGAACTGTTCCTGCTAGGTCCAGCAGAGGCTCAATCGTGGGCAGACGCACAATGTACCAGCCGTCGGCAGTGCGTGAATGGTGCAGGCAATAGTGCTTTTCGCACTTTAGTTCGGCCTTAGAGAAGAGCTGAGACGGCCGGCGAACTTCTTGCTCCCAGAAGCGACGCACCAAACAAGTGAGATCTTCCTCCACCTGGCAATGGTGGGAGGAAATACGTTGGCCGCGTGCATTCTCATTGATGGTGCCTGACAGTATCCATCCTAGAGAGGTCTGTTGTGCCACCGGTTCCTGAGGACTTCCCTTTTTCAGGCCCTGGCGGATGATTACTCCGTAGACGTCGGCACCCAGCAGAAGGTCTATTGGATCCGCGGAACTGAACTCTGGATCGGCGAGCTCCAGGTCCTTTAGATGTGTCCAGGATTGCAGACTTCGGCGGCATCCTTCAGAGAAGAGCGTGAGTTTTGGCAAAATCAAGGCGGTGACGGAGTTGGACGACTTACCGTTGTGCGCTCGAAGGTAAGCTTTACCTTGCCTTTGGCAATTCCCGTCCGTTTCTCGCCGAGTCCATAGACGCTGACGGCGGCGGGCATGCGAGGCAGTCGCAGTCGCTGAACCAATCGCTCCGTTATGATGGACGACTCTGAGCCCTGGTCGATCAGCGCTCGGGCGGAATGCCAGAATTCGTGGCAATCGAGGACGCGGACTCGAGCAGTGACGAGCAGCACCGTGACAGAGGCGGGTGCGATCCTTGAGCCACATGTGATGTCGTGGCGGTCTCGGCGTCGCGGAAGGCATCGTGCAGCGAAGAGTGATGCTGACTGCCACACGTGGTGCAAGTCTTTTTTTGACACGCACTCAGTCAGCTGGTGTCGACCCAGGCAGTTCGAACAGAGGTTTTGATCGTTGACAAACTGTCTGCGAGCCAGAGCCGTCTTCTCTTTGTAGGTGCCACAAACATAATAAAGTGGTCGCCCTGGCATACGGCGCACCGGCTTCTTGACTTATCCTTCGGTTCCGTTTTCTTCACATGATGGCTCCGTGTCGATTTCGCATTGATGTGGCTGCGGCTGTCGCTCTTGGCCGAAACAGCGCCTCCAAAGTATGAAGCCGTCGCTCATAAAGGCTTCCAGCTCGGCGTAGGTAGGCGGATTCGTCGTATGACTGATGTCGCTCTCCCATTCTTGACGCGAACGATTGTCGAGAAGCTCAATGACTAGATGCACAAAGAGGTCCTCCGTGCGATTGATGAGACGATCGATGCTCTTCAGCGAGCTGACTGTGGTTTTTATGCTGTGGAAGAATCGCCCCAATTCAGTTGCGGATTCGCTCTTATTTTAGTAAGCGCCAGGAAGTTGTTAAGATAGTTGCGCGTTAACAATCTTTTATTCTCGTAAAAATCGCTCAGCGTCTTCTAAGCGATTTCGTAATTTCGTCAGTAGTGCTGAGGTTACGTATGAGTAGGTCAGCATCAACCCTTGACACAGAGTTTGAGATAATGTAATTTCTCAACAGGTCTGGCTGCCTGGTTCCTGCCAATGATAGACTGGAAGAGTCTCGAAAGGAAGGCCAGTCTTCGTACTTCCCGGCGAAGGTCGGCGGCTGAATTTTTGGCAATGCGGTCCGAGGAGCGGCGGCCGGTGTCGCTGCCGAAATTGAGCTGGATGTCTGATTTTATCGTTGGAGAGCGCTCTTCAGATCGAGCATGAGGCCCTTGTTCTGAAGGTAAGCCTCCTTGCCCAATAAAGGGATGTCTTGCTTGGCGTAGACGTCGTGTCGTATCTCTTCAACACGATCGGCTAACGCATCATTAATCGCGTCAAATTTCTTCCACAGCTTCTCGAGATTTTGAAGCCGAGCCTCCACCGCGCCGAGTGTGATATTGGCCTTGCCGAGCTTCCGAAGATTCTCGTATGCGCGCGAGATCTTGCCGTATAGCACTGTGGCGGTAGCAATGATTGCCTTTGTGTCTGCCATCTCTGACACTGTCTCTTTTTTCCAGAAGCACTGGTCACCGACACTGATTCACTATCGCTTCCGTGGCACCGGATTCACAGAAGATTCTAGCTCGAAGGACCAAATAATGTGCGCGACGGAAAGCAGGATAGGGAGGTCGGAAGCGAGAAGACAGAGAAGCACTGCACTCGACACACGCGTATCGTTAACAAAATATATTTAAACTATTAACACAAAAATACAATTATTTAAACCGCACAGAATGTTACCAAAAGATAGCCGAGTCGAACGTATTAGAAAGTACAATAACCGAGAGAAAAGCCGTGTTGAAATAAAGTACTGAGTGTCCGCAAGCAACGGTAATTAACGTGAAAAAGACAAGCGATCTTTTTCGTAAAGTAGAAGCACACTCTTGACGCGACAAGCAATCGGAAAAGAGCGCCGCGGTCACGAGAGAGGAGATTTATATAGGCCTGTATTTCTAGAATATTCGCGAACATTTTTCTTATTCTATCGTTCGGTTGAGGGCGAAAGAGCGTTTACTGTAATTATTTACTTTCCAGCAAATCGTAGTTTTGTTATTATTGGGAACTAATTGTATCTCCTCTCGCGCGACCGCGGTGTTTACAATTTAATGTGTTTTAATATAAGCGCTTATTTTTCGTAGGCGCGGGGTATACTTATACCTTTGCGGCCGAGCGCTATTTATAATATGAAACGTCAGCATGTTAAAATAAAAATTGATAGACTATTATAATATAAATTATACGCATGCTGCATGTGAAATGAGAGTACGGCATGAATTTGCATGCAATGTTTTAATTGTTTTTTCTTTCAGCTTTTTTAGACGTTCGATTTTCGAACACAAGGTGTCCTGTAATTGGGAAAAATCTGCTAATGGCAGATTCTTGAGATCATTTGGAGATGATTTTTCCTCAACGAAATATTAAGAGATCATGTTTTACAGGTTTCTAATTTTTATTATCATATATCTCTATAATTAAACTTTAAATTAAAATTCTATTATATAATAAACTTTATCTTAAATTAACTAATAAAGCATGTATTTTGATAATTTTTTAACTTAATTTAATTTGCGAAAATTTTCAATCGTTTATACATGTAACTCGAAATTATTGATGGCTGGACATTTTCGCTAAGGAAAAATCGCCTTCCAATGATCTCAAAAATCTGCTATTAGCAGATTTTTTACCACACTCATCTGTATATAATATCAGATTATAATATCAGATTAGGTAATTATTTCCGTATCTTTCTTTTGTATTGTATTTGTGTTACATATACAGGGTGTCCGGTAAGAGTTGCCTCAACCGTCGTGTGCAGGTAGAGCAGTGCTCGGAATTATCTCAGCATTTCAGCCGATTCTCGTATGTCGACGCCTCCTTTCCTCCCTTTGCCGCGCGCGCTGCAGCCGCTAGGACGAGCGCGGCCGAGCCTCAGGAACGGTACTATCCAATTATGATACGATCTTTCTCCCTTGATTTTTAAAATTTCAAAAAATGTATTAAACAT